ATAATATACAAGTTTCACTTTTTAAATGGAATTACTGAAATCAATCTACTTTTTCATGATATTCTAATTTTATGACCAGCACGTGTACTTTGACAGTCACAAAGGTTCTGAAAAACTTTGCTAATGTGTACCAGGCTGTGATCTGTGTAGTGAGGTTGGTTGATAGCAGGGCAGGTTGCTCTGGCCGATTGAGATAACCTGTGGTGTTTGTGTAAAGTCAATGTTGATGAACTGATTATGTGGTATCATTTGGATGAATTCAATCATATTCGAATAGAATATTAGAGAGAAATATTTAAGAAAATGATCGTTAAACTAGTTAGTGACCAAGACTTTCAAGGCAAAATTTGTCTAATGAAAAAAAGCTAAATATAACAACAGGTAGGATGGATATTGTTCGAATATTTTGATGAAGAAAGCAAAAAACAAAAAACAAAAGCCAGCCTTGCATTTCAAACCTGATAGTTTTGACACTAGAAAATTCAAAAATAAAACAGTTTAACCTTTACATATTGTATGGGTAAAATATAACCCATTTGACATCCAACATCTATAACTGTGTCTTGTGAAGGATAAGTTACCTTCAGTCAATGAGGCTGCTAATGTAAGAAATCACATTTGTGGAGTCAACCTTTCTTCCTGGTACTTATTATGGTGATGTCTGATACCTGAAAAAAAAAGGTGTCTACCATGATTTTAAAAAGATAAACCTTTGAAGTCACAACAGCCAGACCTATTAATGTGACCGAACTGCAGTGGTCACAGTGACCAAAATAAACAAAGGGAGTAAATAAATTTTTATTAGGTTGCCTTTGTGGTTGAACTTTGAAACTGATTGAGAGTTGCAGAATAGAAATGCAAAAAGAGAAAATAAATCATAAGTTCTTTAATTTTCCTTTTTTGTGTGTTTTTTACCCTCTAAGATGGGAGAGACAAGCAATAAAGAAAAATAATATGACCATTTATAATTTTTGTGCTCCCTTCAATGAAAAATATTATCTAAAGTGAAACTTTTGGAAAAAGAAAAAAATAAAACAAAGACAAACAGGTAAATAGTCATTTAACATAAAAGTTTTATAATAATAATGTAATAATGTTAACATAATGTAAAAATATTGACATTCATTATGTTAGAGTAAGAAAATAGAGATATTTTACCAACAAAAGATTAATTATATGAAACTATTAAGTAACAAATTTTGCAACAGTATGTACACGTCTGACCAGTTTCAGGGAACAAGGTCAGGGGAACCTAACTTTCCATTATTGGATGAATTTAGCCAAAACCAATTTCTGACAAAAGATAAGCAACTTATCCAGTCAAATACAAGGATATGTAAACAGCACAAATTTCCCTATAAAAGGCTCCCTCTCACCACAGACAGTCACAGCCTCATCAGCCATGAAAGCGGTTGTGCTAGCCCTGACTCTGGCCTTTGTGGGTGAGTAAAATGCTACCCTCGTTTAAATATTATATCCCATTTAATCTTAACTTGTCTTATGAGTTTTACTCTCTTTTAATCTTTAAATTAAAGTTTTTTTTTTACCATCTAGAGAAACATTTTTCATTTTCCTAGCATTTAGTGAATCTTGATTTAGAGGACCTATACAGTCATTTTATCATTTTAATTGTAATAAAAGATTTCAATACCGATCAAGTTTATATATGTATATATTCACTCATTTAAATTTTATCTTTTATTTTTCTCACATTTGACTAATCATGTTCTTTTTTTCCATTAAAGCTGGACAAAATCCTAATTTTGGTAAGTTTAGTATTTCAATGTAAACTAAATTCTTCAATGTGTTACCGTATGTAAGCTTTAGTTATAATGTCTTGCTGAATTTTAGCAAATACAAAAAATTATGTGTTTTTTGGTGACAAAGATTCTCCATGTGCCTTTTTATAAACAGGTAGATTAATTCTTACGGTGATAAATTTTATTTACAGCCCCTGAATTTGCTGCCGGTAAGACCTACGTCTATAAGTATGAAGCGTCAATCCTGGGTGGCCTTCCTGAGGAAGGTTTGGCCAGAGCTGGACTGAACATCAGCACCAAGGTGTTAATCAGTGCAGCTGATCA